ATTGATATTCAATCGTTAGTTGATGTTATTTCATTTGAGAAAACGTTTACTCCGACTTACATTTATGAAATAAAAAATCTTTTAATATTAAACAGAGAATTTTAAGAAAAGAAGTATGTCATCTTCGATATTCTCACTTCTAGCAATTCAACTGACTCACTATGGAATACCTACTATAATAATTTTGGACAACATTGGCAACATCTTTATTGTGATTCTGTTCAGTCGTCATCGTTAGAACTCATGCTCGATATTTCTATTATGAGCAGCAGTGATGAATAGTGCATCAATAATATTTAATATGACCTATATTGTCTATAGTTTAAATTATGAAGACCCAACAAATAATTCTCTTGTTCTGTGCAAATTACCTTTTTATATGCCTCAAATATGTAGTCAAACAGCTAGATATCTCATTGTACTTGTATGTATTGATCAATGTATTGTAACAATGAATCGTGCTCGTTTCTCACGAATCATTAATCGGGTAATGATAACACACACTCTTTGATTGGACTTCTATTCATTTTCTAGTGTATCTTTCTCATTCATTTACTTATACTGACAACAACCAATAATGGACAATGTGGCCAATTTTATTTGTCTTATGATATTTGTTTGTTTATTTCCATTAGCACTCATGTCTGTATTTGGTTTTTTGGCCTATCGAAATATGAAGCGGTTACATACTCGCGTACAACCGATTAGCAATATTTTCGATAATAGTGTGGGTAATATTATTGTTTAGCGTCAAGATCGAGCACTTTTAATAATGACATTTGCTCAAGTATTTATCTATATAGCGATAACACTTCCATATCCAATCGTTATGTTGGAAATAATAATGATCGATTGTATGGATATAAGTAAAAATATCAAATATCGTCAAATCGAAAACTTCTTTTATACTCTGACAATAACACTCATTATTTTGAACTGTTCTACTCTCTTCTACACATACATCGTAGTGTCAAAAAGCTTTTCGTCAGGATTTCAAGAAGCTTTTCAGCAAATGTAGATGTCGATTGACTAGACTAGTGAACTCTATGTTGAATCAAAGACAAATGCAAGAGTAATTATAAAAATTAGTCATTCTCACTTGTACTACGAAAAATATTGACATTCAACTTATTGCTACGAATTTTATTTTATTCATATTCACATCTTTATCTCAAATGATCAACATATAAATTTGTAAGACGCAATCTCTTTCTTCTCGATCGGTATCATTAATTGAAAGCAATTACATTCTAATATCATTTACTTAAGTGTTAGTTCACCATGTTTAATAATTATTCTACATTCACTTGAGCACCTTTGGTGAAAACAATAGTTGTAATTAAGAAATTCCTATTTGATGTTATATTGTCATTGTCTACATTATTATCCTTCATGTCGTTTCCTTTCATAAAATAAAGTTCTTACAAAAGAAAAGTCTTTTCAAGATAATTTTCATGCAATTTAAAGAGGAAATACGATAAAACTACTTCAATGAAACTAAAAAAAATGCAGATATTTTCTTTGCTCAATGTATCATTAAAACAAATGAAAACATTGATCATACTAAAGCGTGTGGGGTGCGAATGAGGATGTGATTACGTGTGATTCTAGGTATTTTCATGTTCATCCACACTCACACTCTTAAATTCTACATCGAATGAACCCAAAAAACAGATTTTCGAAGTAATTTTTAGGTGCTTTAAAAACGGAAAACAAAAGTGGCTAGTGTTATCTTACCCACTTGTTAGTTTAGTAATAGATATTCATTTCGAATATTTATCAACTATTTCGATCGGGCTGTTGATTGTATTATCATACGGTTTTTGAACAGATATTTTGCACTGCAATATTTTAATTCTTAATAAGAGTAACTACTATTCAAAACTCAACGGCAATAAGTTTGAGTGGCTTAAAATCGAAAAGTTAATACCGGATGCACTTTTAGCATGAAAAGTTCAATCAATTGAGCGATACCAAACAGTTAAAAGAGAAGTTCATAGATGAGAAACTATTCAACGTGTTTTTCAATACTCAATATCATAAAGTGAATGCAACACTCAGTGAAAATCTCATGTTTGCGAATGAGTTTAAAAATCGGTCGTGATCGTGGTTCTCGGGTAATAACTCTTCACCAAGATCGGAACACATCGGTGACACTCACCTGTTCATTTCGATCATCGGATCTCGAATATCCTTGAAACTTTGATTTGTCATTCAAATCAAAAGACTAGCAAACAAATCAAATAATATGAGAATATTTCACTTGTAATATTACAAATTTTCTAATGAAGAACATTTGAAATATAGAATAGACTGGATTTAAACACGAAAATAAAGTGATTTATCAAAACACGATAAAGGGTAGATGATTTTTCTGAAAGCGTTTTTATAGCGGTTTTGGTTATTTCATGATTGATTAGTATTCATACAGAACGAAAATATTAGGAAACAAGAGAATTTTATGCTAAAAATAAGAAAAACTTAACATGCCTGCAAAAGAATTTCTACATTGTCAGTACCATAATTTGTAACAGCCATATCTATCCAACTATCATTATTAAAATCACCAAGAGCTACCGAGTATGGATGAGAATCATAACCCATTAAATATGAATACATTTCTATAAAAGTTCTATTGCCATATCCAAAAAAAAACAAGGATTTTGTTACTAATAGAATTGACCACTATGATATCCAATTGATCATCTTTATTGACATCCCATACTGAGACCATATTCGGATGAGAATCATCTCCAGTTGAATATGAATTTTTTAGTAAAAAGATGCCATTACCATATTCAAGAAGAATACTTATTTTGTTAGTAAGCGAATTTGCAACGACGATATCTAATCGATTGTCACTATTGATATCACCAACAGCAACTGAACATGGACCAAATTTGAAACCGGTTGAATATATCATTTGATTTTGAAAACTTCTATTTCCATAACCAAGAAGGATACCAACATTATCACTACCATAATTAGCAACGACAACATCCAGTCGATGATCATCATTGAAGTCACCAACGGCAACAGAATATGGTCGAGAATCATTTCCAGTAAAATGCGTCACTTGATTGAGAAAAGGTTGGTGATTATATTGAAGAAGTATTAGCATACTGTCAGATCCCCAATTTGCGATAATAAATGTACGTTTCGTCATGAAATATATAAAACTTTGATAAAAATTTTTTTCACGTATGATCTGAACTAATTGTTTTTTCGAAAAGAAATGAGAAGAAATTGCTACTATTAATAAAAAAATATTCAATATATAATCTTGATTAATTTTAAAGAAAAAATTTTTTTTTTATATATAATATCGAATAATTTGTTTTTCGAAAAAACAATAGGAGAACACTGATACTATTAACGAAAAAAAATTAATAAATAATCTTGACTAATTTTTTTGAAAAAAATTGAGAGAAATTTGTTACCATTAACAGTTGACAAAATGATCCGAGTTGTTATAAGTTTCCTTGTATGAACTAGAATTTTTATGAACAAACAATAAGCACTTTGTTATCTATTACAGTTGAAGAAAAATTGAAAGCATCTTAGATAAAAATACGACAAATCTCACTCAACTGCTCCCTTTAAGATTTGAATATTCGATTATTTTAATAGTTTCTTCATCATTAAGAAATCTGTACGAATGTTTATGTAAAATATGCGATGACGATCTAAGAATAAGCCACGAAGAACGTTTTCGAATATAAATATTCGGAATTGTTAAAAATGTTGTATTATTCGTTTTAAATTGTAATAAATGATGTCTTGCGAGTTCATCAATAAGATCTTCCAATAAAACAAATATTTTTTCATTATCATTTGGATCGGTTACAATTGCTCTAATAAGTCCTAATTTAATTTGTCGTCCAAATACAAATGAAACACAACAATCGACGAATTTATGAGATTTTGTGGATGATAAAGTTTTATATTTGGTATGTTTGATGGCTAATTCATCATGATACAAGAATTTTCTTTTTGTAGTTAAGTTCAAATGTTTCATCTCGTCAACATAATTTGTAGAAGACACTTGTTTTCCCACGTGTATTCCTTGATTTAATAATAATTTGCGACTAAAAATACTTTCATTAAAATAAAATAGTTTTTCTGGATAATTACGTTTGAATGCATCAATTATAGCTTGGCGATAATATTGTAAATTTGAAATTAATTGTGGCTCATAGTGTATCATACCATGGATCATGCACACCAGGTCATGACCAACGCCTGAAATATAATTAAGAATAAATACAACCTGAGAAATTCTTTTTAAATCAACGATAAAAACTATCGAATTGTTAACAATTTTTGTGTAATGCGTAGAAAATGAAAGAATAATGAGAAATAAATGATCAGGTTATTACAGCTCATTTAACACTAAATTTTGATAACTCATGATATTCTAAAAATATAACTCTTTTTCAAATCACTACAAACGAGTTAAACCACCTTAAATGAATTTAAAGAGATCAAAATCATTGTATCACTTTTATTACTGATGTTAAAATGTAATTATAATCGTATCAGCTAATAATTCATGATGATTTTTTTTTCTTCAATTTAGTACAACACCTATCGTTCAGATAAAAAAATGGAAATAATCTTTATCAACATTTATCTTATATTTTTTGTTCTCATTATTATGAGATAATATGCATGATAGAGAATTATATGAAATAACAATATGTAGTCTGCAAACTAACCTTCAAAATTAAAAGTACTCTACATATATAAAGGACCTAGAAATTGTATTGATTCATGAATATGTAAAAGTGAATGTATATTGGATGACATATGACGAAGATCAAATATCTTTTGCCAATCTTTTACATATTGATGTAATAATTCTTTAACTAATATTATATCACAATTGTCAATAGTATCTTTAGAAGCAATGTTAACGGCAGCTAATAACAATGCAAAATGTCGACGATATTTTGGTAACATTGCTTGTAATAATAATGTTGATCCGTGATGCATTAAAGATCTGAATTCGTTTGCCTTGAAACGTGCACTATGTTTTATTGTTTGAAATCGTCGATTTGTAGTAGTTGGAATTTTAACAAAAGATAACCCTTGATCAATACTATTTATTTTATTATAAAGCGACCATTTTTGTTGACGATTAGTTTTGGATTTGGAAAAAATCAACGAACAAAACTTTTTAAATACATCCAAATATAATGTATGCAATGAATCAAAGACTATTGATTCACCAAAAGAATAATATTTTAATTTTGTTAAAGCGTACGGACCTAAAACAAATAAATTTCACGACATATATGTGGTAAATGATTATATAACATTTTTTTCTGAAAGACTCTTGCAAATAATCTGATTAAATCAAGCGATCCTAGACAATACTTAGATAACGCTTACCAGCATGTCCTTTAACAGGAGAGTCATGCTGCTCGGCTTCGATTACCAGATTATTGCATATGGAATTATTCCTGACTTCATCATTTCTATACGGCAATACTTTGATGGTACTTTTTCGTACATTTTTCGAATAGACAGTGAAATTTTTACCTAAAATAATGCAATAAATTTTGAACTTGAAAAATGAAACTAAAGAATAATTAACGTACCTTCAGTAAAGTATTGTGCACAACTATAGTTAGCATTGTGGAGGGCCATATTAGCCAATAACGATTGAGCTGATTTATCTGTACATGACGCAATAATAAAAAATTTAATATTTTGTTCATCTACACCAGGAATAAAAAAATTAACACCAGCTTCTAATTATGCACATTCTTGATATATCATGTCCAGTATAGTTCGAAATAATTTATTAGTTGAATGATTTGATGTTGGTAAAACACCACCAAGAATTATAGATTCCGAATATCGTCGATTTGGGAATGGAATTTCGTTTATCATAAAAGTTATTGACCATAAAGATATATGTTTGTTTTTCGTAACAGCACCATCAATATTAAATATCTTAGTAAAGGACTCTTCTGATTCTGAATTTAGTATATGATCATATTTTGTTGCTTGAAAATTTTCTTTATGAATCTTTCGTTAATGTTTCATTTGATTAAATATATTTGGCATGAGTAGCAAATGTTGAAGTTGTTCCACAATGAAATAATAATAAAATTCTATCATAACACTGGATTTACATTGAAAACATTCAGAACACTTCTGATTGATGGCTTTCATACCACACGCGTTACAAATTTTATAACAAAACCATTTCGATGAGACATCTAACTTCATTTTCCTTTTAATAAATTCTCAAGAAGTAGGTATTTCAGGACCATTTAATGCTTTCGAAAACCTACAATATGCATTTATGTCACTGTTGCTTTGTTGCCTTCGAACTTTGAAGATTACAGATGATGCAGCAACATCACTACGAGTCGGTTGTGATCGTCGTAACAACGTTGACGTACATTCTAAACAAACAAATGTATCTCTATCTAGCAAAATGAGATGAATTTCGCTTCGTCTAAAGTGGAATCTGTCCAGATACAGTTATAGGTTTTGTGGTTTTGGTATAAATGGCGATTAGCAAATAAAACTTACTTGTATATTTCAAACTCAAAATATCCTCAACACATACCCAACTATGCTAAGATCTGTACCAAATCAAAAATAATATTTAATTTTACCATTTATTATCTCGGTAGTTGTCGTTCCCAATGCATTCATTGATTCAATACGTTCTAGTTTGAATTCCTTAATTTCTTCGACTTTCATAGGTGCAGATGATATAGACTCTAGAATCAATAGTTATATTTAAGAAGTATTAAAAGAAATAGCTCCATACCACTTTGATTTTCGAATATTTCTTGAGATTGATTGAGGGTAGATGTCTTGGAAGTAACGAAATCATATTTTAATTGTTCTCATTTTTGTAATCGAGTTCGTTTTCTATAAAAAGTCCTTCGAGTCATCTTAAAAAAAAATGAAAAATACAGAATTGAAACAATAACATAA